GTGGATTAAACACAAAATTGCCTTTTGTGCACTCCAGACATCCTACTCAAAACAACTCTAAGAAATAAATTCAAATAAGACAAAAAGTTCGGGAGAGGAGATAACAGGAACAAAATACTGTAATCTGGAAAGCCGATTGGAGTGTAAAAGTTGATTTGTCAGCTTCGAGAAAGCTGAATCCTAAACAGGTGGTGTGGGAAAAGCAGAGGCGATCAGATTTACACCACAGCACCTCCAACCTCACACCCTATGCCGGACTCAGGAGTTGTCAGCAGTAGCTTCATCTGGAAACTGTTAGAAGCTGAATTGTGTCCTCGTGTTCCGCTCACCCCCATATTTCGAAGCTCTAACACACCAGTACCTCAGAATGTGACTGTTTATAGAGACAGGGCTTTTAAAGAGGCAATTAAAGTAAAATGAGGTCATATATGTGAGCTCTGATCCAATGACTTGAGTCCTTATTAAAAAAGATCAGGACACAGACACACAGAAGAAAGACCATGTGAAGACAGGGAGACAGCCATCTACAAATCTGTTGACAGGCTTGGTCTCAGACTTCTGGTCTCCAGAACTGTGAGAAAATAAATTTGTTGTTTAAGCACCCAGTCTGGGGTACCTTGCTATGGCAGCAAACTAATACTACATAGCCCCTCCTCCGTCCCGGAACAAGACTAGAAGTTAATTTTCTTGAATGAGAAAAGCATCGGGTCCCTAGACTGAGGCAGTTATTCTCAAACTTTTCCCTGCATCACAGTCAGGGAGGACACATTAAAACACGGACTGCTGGGGTCCACAGCCATTGTTTCTAATTCAGTAGGCCTTGGATGTGGCCAAGGATTTTCATTGCTAACAAGTTCCCAGTTGATGCATATGCTCCTAGCCTGCGAACAATTTTTAAGAACCATTGGCTGAAGGAAGATCATGCACAGGGCTAGGAGAAAATGGTAAAAGCTCAATAATATTAGCGATTTACTTCGAGTTGTTGTGAACTGAATGGCACGTGTGCGCTATGGAGACCCAAATGCCTACAGAGTCCCACTGAGAAGTGAGAGTTTCAAGAAGACATTCCATTTACACTATGCATTTGAGGATAAAGTAGGTTTTCACTAGGTTGAGAATGGTGCCTCAGGCAAGTGCTGAGAAAGGAAAGGGAGGAGGGGGTTGGAGGGCAAGGCCTGACACCGCAGGGCAGTGCAAGGCTGGGAGTCTTTTCCACAAAAGAATCTACTGAATTTACAGGAAATGTAGTAGTTCAAATATCGTGGCCTTTCTTATTGCTGTTTCATTGCGGATCTGAGCTCAATACGTAACGATTTTTCTCAATACAGGAAAATTTCGACAAGAGGAAATACCGAACGAGAGAAACCATTGACATTTCTCCTTTTGGAGCATTTGGGTGTTTGGACTAATATTTAATCTGGTTAATCCTTTATCTTTCTCCACCAAGCATTAGCAAAGCTGTGAATAGCGAGGAGAAAAATGTTCAAGTCTCCCAATAAAAAGGGCTAAATTTTTAGAACCTGGGGGCCAGGAGAAAGGATTATTTAATCCTATTTTAGAAGAAAGGCAGCACTTACCTGTGACCTCGTGGCGCAACGGTAGCGCGTCTGACTCCAGATCAGAAGGTTGCGTGTTCAAATCACGTCGGGGTCAGTTCTGGTTACCTTTTGGGACAGGGGAGACAAAAAGAGCAAGGCTTCTTGAGGTATGTGTACTTGGCCTTCAGACCCGTTAAGGCTTCCAACACCGAGTTTATGTAAAGAAAATAGATTATCTGCTCTGTGAACAGAGTTTCGGTTGGGTGCATTAGTGACTCCACGTTTGCCCTTAACTTGCCGTTGGAATTCTAAAACGAGGGTACGAAGTCCCCTAATTGGAAGTCTTTTTTAACCTAGAGATTTAATTTAAACTCTCTCCTCTTTGGCATCAGGGAATGCATAGTCTTCTGGTTTCCTTTTCTTCTCTAATCGCAGCTTTTCTCATCCTTTAGCTGCTGAGGACCCTCCCCTCCACCAAGGCCCTAATATGTTGACGTTTTCCCAGGCTCATCCTCCTCGCTCTTCGCTTCCAGACTGTTCCATTGCCTATCTGCCTACAATTCGTGCGTTCTTCTCAGCACATTCCCCTCCCCAGCCCCGCTGAACCTGGAACCTGCAACCATCCTGGACACTCCCTCTTATTCACTTACCAGTCTCAGCAGGGAGTGCTGAACTTTACCTCCTAAAATGTTATATTCCATTTATCTTTTTCTTTTCCTTACCACAGTGGCCTCCTTCTTTCCATCAGTATGTCCTGTCCTGATAGTGACATGAATCTCCTAAATCCTCTTCCCAGATCTCCTCTTTCTCAGGCGAATCAGTGTCCTTATTATGCTTGCGTTTAAATTCAGACCTTAAAACAAAATTATCTACTGTGCTCATTAACCCCCTTCTCACAGGTCTTCTTTCAGTTCCTCAAATCGTGTTGTTCCTTCCGGGGGTGGGGGTTGGGGTGAGTAGGTGGGGCGGGGCTTTGTCCCAGCCCCACTTTCTTTTCCTCTTATAGTGTTAAAGAGAAATTACACTGGACACTTACTAAAAACGATCAGACGGATTTCATAGAAGCTAAGAGAATAAGAGACTTCAATATACACTGAGCTTAACTCCAAATATTAGCAAGGACAGCTGGGGATTTATAGCAAGTGGGCAGGGAGCTGGTCAGGGGATGGTGAATTACAGAAAAGAGCTTGATTAGATATCAAGAGTGGAGGGATGCTCAATAAACGGGCTTAGCAGGATTCTTGCTAAAACTGGACTCAGGAAGGCCTAGCAGAGAAGAGCACTCAGAGAAGCCTGACTGAAGTTTAGTCAAAGGAGTCCTTGACAACGGTAGGTCACAAAGGGTCCCTTCTCATTACTAAGTTAGCCTCTAGAGAACCTCATGACTAGGATGAAAGTGATCTGAACTGTGGCTGTGAACTTGCTGGAAAATAGAAAATGAATTAAAAAATCAGCAAGGCTGAATTTTAACCTTAACTGGAGATTTTATGATACTTCTGAGTTCTGGACCATTCACTGGAGATAATAAAACCACATGGGATATTGCAGGAATTCTCCTGATGAACTTCCTGTATATGTGGGTACAAATGAAACAAAGCAAAAAGACATAACTGTTTAAAAATGGCGATAAAAAATGGTGATAAAATTGTTTATTGCAAATTATTTCTGATGAAAAAGCTTAAAGAAGTAACAGATAAACAGAAAGCTAGTGTCTTGAAAAACATAGCTGAAAAACTCACAGAAGAAGACAATTAGGGTAGTCCCTGCAACAGAGAACCATGAAGATGAAACAGAGAGGTAAGAAAGTTGTGATAAAGACCATTCATGGTGCAGGCTTCATTGTCTCAATAGATAAAAATGATGTTGGGTCCAGAGAGCTCCCTGAAATAGACACCAACCTCAAGAGCAGTTTCAAGACAATTGTTGAGGTGCCAAGTGATGAAGAGAGACTGAAAGCATTTGCTCCCATTCAGGAAAGGATGACTTTTGTGCATTTTGCTAATGATGAATGTGATTATGGCATTTGGCTTGAGTTGGGAATGATCTCTTTTTTCTATAGTTTACACTATTTTCATAAAATTGCTAGCCACCTTTTACCTCTTGTATGTAATCTATGGAAGAGGAACCTCTTCCCAGAGATTATTGAAGATTATCTGGCACATAGAAGTCAAGAGAATATAGACCAACTTAAAGCACTGGCATTAAACTTATGATTTTTATTTGGTTTTTAAGGAAGACAGAAGAGCAAATTGATGGAAACATTACAAAAAGAAGCTGAAGAAGAGAAGAAGGAGAAAATTCTCCAGCCCCAAGTAAGCAGATGTCTGCAACTCTTGTCAACATCTTGTTTGCAACCTTGTAAAAGATTGCCACCTGGGTAAACCACTCCTGAATTCCACACCAACAGAAAATATGAGATAGTAATTGTTTGTTGCTTTAAGCCACTAAGTTTTAGGCACAGCAATAGATAATGAATACAATGTTTAACCTCAAAATCATCTCCTAGCTGGGTCTACCAATCCTAAAACTTATCCCGATCCTTATTCAACCCTAACCAAGTTCCCACTTTGACTCACCAAAACAATTCAGATTGTGAAAATCTCAGTAAATAGCTCAATTTTGCACTTTCCCCTCTGAGACACTATTAAGACTCCTAAGATAGTGTTCTCTCTTGTCCAATAAACTCAGCTTTGTTCTTTCAATGAGGTTTTTGGTGACATTTTAAGGGGGTAGCATTTGAAAAATGGTAAATAAAATAAAAGGAAATAGAGTGCACAATATAAAATTATTTTTATATCACACACAAAGAATACACTTTAGATATTTGTTCTAAAATAGCCCACACTATGCAATCAATTCAGCACAACTAACCTGAGCACTAACTATGTGCATTATTCTGAAGATTTCTGTTTATAATGGAAGTAAGGTACAACTTCTGACTTTCAGTGTTCATTAAAATGTTCCATGAAGTAAAAATCAGTAGCTAATATTTATCTGGTGGTTTTATACTTTTTTTCAAGGTTTTAGTAGGCATCATTTTAAGTTAACTTTATGGTTCTTAGAGGAATATAAGTCAACCACTGTAGGCTCCATTTACATATAAGAAAATAAGAACTAACAAATGAGGCCAAGTTATTGATATCTCTCGTATGTCCAGTTATTTGGTATTCTTTTGCTAGAATTTGGAGAAACCTAATTTATGGCCCAAATTCTTTCTTTAAGATCAACATTAATAACCTCTTAATTTGCTAAAAGGCATCCTGCTATTCTTCCCCTTCAAAGAATCCTAATCATAGCTGCCAAATAAATACTCAGCTTCTCTATTTTGAAGAAGAGCTGAAGAGATAGAAACGGGAGTGAAAAACCTCCAGGCTTTCACGTACTTTGTAATCCAAGCTATCTGAATCCACTACTTCCCTAAAGCCCAAACTCAAGACTCATTTCAGTAGAGATTATTTTCATTGATGTCAGTGGTTTTCTCTGTGTTGGATTTTTCTCCAAAACAACAAAAAAGTTCTGAAAAAACAGAGACGATAACTCATTTATTTCCAGGCCTCGTTTGACTTTGGTTTCAAAGTGCCACAATGACCTCAGCTACTGGTGGCAATACCCTTCTTACCAAACTTGGGTCTCCGTAAACAGAATGACAATGGGACGTCTTTTTTCCGAAATGAAGTACTTGATGTTTGACACTTGAATTGAGCACTTTGGGTTAGTAATTAACCGCATTGGCTTGCCTCCTAAACGAGAGACTTTTTTTAGAAAGTGTTTTCATTAAAGATTTAAACTGAGAGAGGGATGGAGAAAAACATTTTTATACGTCACCTATTTACAGGTGTTTTTCACTTTCAAACGGCTCCAAAGCGTCGCATTATCTGCAGTTCAGCTTCCTTCTAGTTCACAGGGTTCCCCAGAATATTTAGAGATAATCTTTTATTTAATTTGATTTGAGAAAATCTTAGGGAAAAAACATCCATCTTTGCTGGTTTACTAACAATTTAGGAACCATGTTATTATAACTATATGTAGATAAGTAGAGAAAGAGAAACGTACCGCGCATTGGTGGTTCAGTGGTAGAATTCTCGCCTGCCACGCGGGAGGCCCGGGTTCGATTCCCGGCCAATGCAAATGCATGTTTTTTTCCCCCTCTCTGCGATGGAAAACATTTTCTTTGAAAAATCACAAACAAGAAATATTTTAAGGTAATTATCCTTCTGGTATCCGAGTATGGCTGAGAGAAGCCACAGTTAATCACCCTTTTACAATGTCACCTTTATAAAGGAAATTCCGATCTCAACTGATAGAAGTCTTTCGGAGGCGAATTCTAAGTCGGTAGTGTCTGGTGGAGTGTAGCCATTTATAGACATAAATGTAGTCTTTCTACTCTTCGAAGCAGCTTAGAAAGATATTCATAGATTAATTTCTCAGAGTTAAATAATTGCCAAAAATTTTAACCTTGAAATATGAATTTAAAAAATATTGCCAGCACTGGAGCAGAGTGGCGCAGCGGAAGCGTGCTGGGCCCATAACCCAGAGGTCGATGGATCGAAACCATCCTCTGCTATGTGTGTATGTTTTTTTCCTTCCCCCCCGCCTTGATTGAAACTCCCTTTTACAGAATGGGCTAGAAGAAAGTTTACTGCAGACTACCACATAGAGATTGTGAACCAATTCTGGGTATGTAAGAATCCCTAAGGCAGTTTGTTAGAAATACTTATTTCCCGTTTTTAGCGGAGGTAAATCTTATTACGTCTGGTAAATCTTATTCATTACGTCTACTATAATTTGGTCCGTCAAGTTTGGGGACCACAACACCTCTCCGGGATTGGAATGTGACAATCGTTAAGGTTTTTGGTATCTAATAGGCCCGACGAAGAGTTACAATTTATAGTGACGCCTGTAATCAACATCTCAATCTTCAAATTGTTGATCTTTCTACCATGATAACAGGCATCCCTGAGCAGTTATTAAAATGAAAGGACGGTTGTAACAGGAAAGATATTATTCCTCATGGGAATATATCTTGAGTTGATAAACAGGCATGTAGTCGTGGCCGAGTGGTTAAGGCGATGGACTTGAAATCCATTGGGGTTTCCCCGCGCAGGTTCGAATCCTGCCGGCTACGGAGGTACGTTTTCTTTCCAGGTACTTCACCTTCCTGGACCAACCGTGGAAACTAAAACATCAAGAGTATACGCTCTTTTCTGTTATCCTTACCTTCTTCCATAAAATTGGAATCAGGTAATTCTAGTATAGAGAAAATCTTTGAAAATGACTTTGGGTAAACACTAGGGGTTTCTGAGACCATTATAAATACCTTGAAAAAGTGCTCAGGCATGAATTCATTTTGAATTGCTATCTCCCTATCTGAACTTCAGCTCAGGTCTGATTTCTGAAAACTCGCCTGCTTCTATCTTCCCCGCTTGATGTTCTTCCAAGAATTTACCTACATCCAGTGCATGACTACTCTACTCCTGAGTATTTTGATGTTTGGAATTAGTATCTCAAACAGAAATTTTCAGTATTTCCTCCTTCTAGAGCCCTCTTATCATTCCTCTTGAGAAGCCAGATTGTAGAGAGGAAGCATCAGTTAAAGAATTTTCAAAACTGCTTTCAGATGTTGGCTAAATTTTATTTAAAAAAAAAACTGTTTTGCTTGCTAAAACTTTCTATCACTACACATGCAGTATATGCAACATAAATTAAATATAACAAAAATTCATCTTGCCATGAATGACTGAAAAATTGTGCTGAACACTGGAATTTGACACAACACTGTAAAATGAGTATGAATCAATAAAAAATGTAAAGAAAAATTCATCTTGTATTAAACTTGCAATCAATCCATCAGGAAATGAAGATAAGCAAAAAGAAGGATGTAAAAATACTTAAAAAGGAAAAAAAATTCTTAGTCCTGAAATTACCAATAACTTCCCATCTTATATTAAACTTTTTTTCTTCT